TGGAGCTGATAATTTGATTGAACAGCGCCCCTGGATTGCAGGCAGCGAGGAAGACCAGTTCACGTGGAGGTTGCTACCAGCAAATGGGAGGGGGTGTGGTGAGTGTTTGGGATTCTGGGCAGCTCAGGAAGAGGCCGGCAGACGCTGAGCCCCCAGGAAAGTCTGGACCATATTCCCCTCAGGAGCCCCACCTTCCTGTGTCTCTGAAGAACTGTGCTCAGGGTGCAGTGTCAATTTAGGCCCTGACCTTGGGGTCATGGTCATTTGACCTTGGTTGAAAGCTGCCTCTTCACTGTTGGGGAGCAAAGTAGCAAGGACCTGCTAAGGAACGTGTAGCCCATGTGTGGAGCAGGCCGATAGCCCCTCAGAGAGAAACAAACACTTCTCAATCAGCTAATGGCCAGCAGCTCCCACCTGCTAGGGGTGGGCACTGTGGGCCTCCAGGCAGCTCCCAGTGGCTGCGTCATGCTGCCAGCTCCCCTCCCCCCCAAACAGAGAAACTGCATTAAAAACACACTCTACAGTCTGCATCCTTTGCCTAAGCTGCTTCTAATCAGTGGGCTTGTAACATGTGTGTGTGGGTGGTCTTTTTGTCTATCTGCACTGGGCAAGGCCACTGGGCCATTAAGCTGAGGCCCAGCCATGTGTTCAGATGCCAGGAGACCCTACGCCTCCTCACCCTAGTTGGGAAAGCCAGGGAGAACCCCTTGTTTGGGTGGACGGGAGCAGGGTGGGAACAGTTGCTTCAGCTGGTAGAGACAATGATGTGGTGATGTATGTTGTGTGTGTGAAGATCTGCTGTCCAGTGGGCCCTGGTGATCTTCTCTGACTGGCCGTCAGCTTCCTGAGCCACATCATGGCACTTTGGCCAGTTGTGCTGTGGAGAGACCATGCAAGTGACTGCCTGTCTCCCAAAGGCCACGTCCCACCCGTGTGCATGCAGTGGGGACGGGGGACAGAATGCTCGGTGTGACACTGGACTGCCTCCTCTTCCACTCCTCCTTCTCTCCCTTCCTCATGGGAAGGGCCACACATCACATTCTGATTAGGATCCTCCCAGCTCTCTAGCAGTGGCGGGGATGGCATGGGACCAGTGACCTTGGGGGCGGCTGGAGCGCGCTCCGGTCCATGGTGCTGGCAGCCGGTCCTGCAGGAGTCCTGCCTCGTCTGACAACCCTTCCCTGCTCTGCCTTCCTCTCACTCTGTCCACCTCCCACATCTGAGGCCATCTGTATATGAGGATGGGAGAAGGAGGGGAGCCTGGTAAGTGGATGAAAGGGAAGGAGCAGCCTAGCCCTGCCGACCCTATGTGCTCCTGGAGCAGGACACAGCTGTCTGCTGCACATCACAACCATGGTCGGTGGTGTTGTCTCCAAGACAGTGAAGCCCACTGGGCCTGGGGCCACTGCCATCTCTCTCACAGCCCCTCTCCAGTGCCTGGCACCATGGCTGCCTCTGTGCCAGTCACAGCCTGGCAAGCAGTGAGGGCTTCTGTGTGGATGCACACCTGCACCATATGGCAAGCAGCCCCACCTTGGTACCCTCAGCAGGACACCCCCAAGGCCTTTGCTGTGTCCTGTCTGCACCTGGGGCTCCATTACAGATTCCTGAGACCTTGGGCAGGGCTTCCGTGCAGCAGAGGGCCCTCCGGTCCATCCCTGAGCAGCGGGACAGCTCTGAGGACGTGTGTGGGGGGAGAAGGAAGGAGTACAGCTCTTGCCTCTTCACGGGGTGGGACTGACACCTGCTACAGCCTGAGACGTGACCCCAGGACAGCAGAGGGGCAGGGCAGAGAGTGGATGGTGGAGGCTGGAGGGCACAGGGTACAGGGCAGAGGGAGCAGGGCGGAGGAAGGAGGGTGCAGTGTGGCCAGCTTCATGCCCCCTGGGGGCCTCTGCCTCGCTCAGGTGGCCCCGTGGGTGAAGGGCAGAGGCACCACCTGTGAGGTGTCTCGAGTTGCTGGGCGATTCCATATGCACAGTCTCACGTCTCCCAGGCTCTGGGCAGAAGTGCACTGGAATGCCCGAGTGACTTTTCCCGAGTGGTTTCAATTCATCACTTCTATGTACTGTCTAGCCTCGCTACACCAACACGTTAATGAACATGACATCCTCACCAGAAACACAGTCTGGCTTCGGCCACAGGTTTCTTCTCTGTGCTTCTTAGGAGAAGAGTCAGTCAGCCCACAAGCAGCCCCTCCCCCACTCTCTCTGCTTGCCCAGGGAACCCCCACATCTGTGGTGTCAATGACCATGGACAACTGTCCCCACTCTCTCTTCTTGCCTGGGGAACCCCCACATCTGTGGTGTCAATGACCATGGACAACTGTCCCTACTCTCTCTTCTTGTCCAGGGAACCCCCACATCTGTGGTGTCAGTCATTGTGTACAGTTCTCCTCCACTTTCTGCTCACCCAAGGAGACCCTCCCCCATGTCTGTGATCTCAGTGACCATGGACAGCTGTCCCCACTCTCTCTACTCTGTGTTCTCAGTCACCGTGGTCTGCTGTCCCTCATATTGCTTTATTAGCTCTGAATCTTCATCTCATCCCAGACCACACCCTGCACCCCCAAAGGACATTTTGGCCATGACACAGACACATTTTTGCAGATGCCCTCAGAGCCTTAGTGGGACCATAGCTGCCTCTCTCACTGCTGTGATCCTGTGTACCTCAGCTTGACAGCGCTACCCTGCTGCAGACCCCTGAGCTAAACAAACGTCACAAAGGCTCTCCCCGCCTCCTTCTGCCCCTGCATTGTGTCAGGTACTGGACTCCCAGCTCCTCCCAAACACAGCCTCCGCAGTGGGTACTACTCCGTGGCTTCCATCCGTGGCCTCGGCCTGTCCTTGGTGGCCAGCGACTGTGCAGTGGGGTGGACCATGAAGGAGCATGGGCTTCGGAGGAAGGTCCACATGGGTGGTGGGCAGGGCAGGGGTGCGGGGGCCAGCCAGGGCCCTGGTGTCAATCCCCACATTGCAGCCCTGGGAGGAAACACTGCCCCTCTCTCTCTCCATTGTTCCCTCACAAAAGCAGAAAAATATTTTAGAAAAGAAAAGCCTTCTACAGACTGCAAACCCTTATTTCATTGATCTCCCCTAACATCCAGTGTGATTTTTTCCCCTGAAAGGTAATAAAACAGTCCAGAGTCACCGTGTCTGTAGGTAACTCACAGGCCGTCTCCTGGCTGGGTCCTTTGGCGTGGGTGATATGGTGTCTCAGTTTAGCCAGAGCTGGTGGCTGGCTTCCCCTGAGTGATGGGGCAGGTTTCAGGTGACTTTCATTGGTTAGCATAGCTTGAGGCTAGACTGTGTATAACACACACTCTGTGCAGCAAATCCCTCACTGGCTTTTACAGGGAGACAAAGGGATAGATTCCTGGGAGGTAGCTGCGTGCCCTGTGCACCACTGACCCCTGGGGACCCTGGCTTTTGAGCAAATCTGCCTTTCAGCAGCACACAGAACCTCAGCTCTGGTGGAGTCACCTGGCTTCTGGCCTCCAGAGCACCTGAGTGGCTCTGGACCCCCCTCTGCCTGCTGTCCGGCCTTGCCCCCCTCCACCATCCTGTGATGCCCTACAGGGCTGACTCAGGAAGCCAGCACTGCTCGGTGCTCACTGGAGTGGGGTGTCCGTGAGAAGGGCCGCTCCAGCCCACAGGCAAGGAGGGTCATTCCTGGGATGAGTAGGGGTTGAGGGAAAGCCCGCAAAAGTCTGAGGAGGGAAGAGCCAAAGTGGGTGGTAAGCCCTTCTTCTGGGTCCCCATCAGAGCAGTTAACTGATGTGTGGGAATGTCTGCTATGCACTGGTGGTGCCCGCATTTAGCTTGCAGTGTGGGACAGGAAGGGGGTGGGAAGCACTGTAATCAGGGACCTAGCCCAACCACGGCAGGACACGGCATGGGGTGCCGGCTGCTGGGCAGGTCCCTGTGGGAGGAACTTCTTGTGTTTCTCCAGCACCGAGACATGCTCTTCAGAGCCAGGCTGGGGCCCAAGGCGTCGGGGCCCAGGGGACAAACGCCAAGGAGGGAGTGTCGTTGCTTGGCAAAGCTGACTCAGACAGAACCACTGCAGGATAAAGCACTGTGGGGATGGGTGCGTGCCTCCCCCAAAGGGCTGCCATAGCACCCCCAGAGCCCAGCTCAGCCTCAGGGCTGGTACACGGCAGGACTGCCACTTTGCTGGGAGCATCAGACAAGCTGGGCAAGGCCACTGGCGGTCATCTGTCCCTGTCTGCAATGGATGGAGAGGTAAGTTCTGTTCACACAGGACCAAGAGAAGTGGCCGTACCTGCCTGCCTGGAAACATGGCCTGGTGGTGGCCCCGTCACACCAAAACCCAGTACTGCATGGTCTTAGAGATATGCGCAGGGACAGGGTTTGACCCAGGGGTAGTGGGCGCGGACGGGGCACAGCTTCCCACTGGAGGTGAGAGAAAATCCTTGCCAGTATGCTTACATCAAAGAGAGGCAGAAACTTGTTAATTGAAAAAATGGTTTGTGTGGAGGGAAATAAAGAGATGCCAGCTATGTAAATTAGCACATGCCCCACCCGGAGGAATCCTGCCAGGCTAGGAGGAGAGGAAACGAGTCAGGGGGAACAGGGAACCGCCCAGCAGAGCACCCGCCCTTCGGGTTGGAGTTTCTCTCAGGGGGGTGGGGGGCCTTTGAGAAAGCTGTTTGGGATGCCGGGTGGTCTGCAGGTGGATGAGGGGATGAGGCTCTCCCACGCGGCTCAGGGTGGGCTTCTCACACCAGCTCTTAATGGCCGTGCCAGACTCCACCCCTTCTGCTCGGGGTGGCCAGGAAGTCCCTTCGCCAAATGCCCCTGAGAAGTGCTGGGTTGCACTGCTGTGGCTGGGCTTGTCAGAAGTGGCAACCTGAGGAGTTTATTAGCTCCCTGACAGCTGCATTCCGCTCCCAGCACGACTGCGAGGGATGGACAGGGCTGGGGACCAGATGCTGTGGGCAGGGAATCCACCATCAGAAGACCTGGCACCCAGGGTCCATGGCAGATGGAGGTCCGGCCAAGCACCTGGACCGAGCGCCGCCTGGCGGTGGCTGCCGGTACCTGCTCCGGGAGAGCCTTCCTCTGCGTGACACTGGGGCCCAGATGGTCAGCAGAGGGGCGCGTCCCCGGCCCCAGGAGGCTCGGGTGTGGGGCAGAGGCCGCGGGCGCCAGGTGATGGACGAGCTCCGCTCTCTGGGTGGGGAAGTCAGGCATAGTGGGCGTCCCTGTCCTGTGCAAAGGCCCAGAGGCCACCGACTGGTGTGTTGCGTTGCATAGGGGCAAGAACTTAAGACCAGGCGCGCAGGGCCCCATTTTCGGGCCCAGACAGACGCTGGGGCTCAGCAAAGTGGCGACTAGCTTCCCTACTGAGAACGACATGCTCCCACGCCCCTCCAGCCAGCGGCGCCAGCTCCCTGTGCCCGGCTCTGCAGGAGGTGGGGCCCAGGCATCCCGCCGGCGCCCCCAGTCCTGCCTGGCGGCGGGTCATCCCCGGCTGCGCGCCGCCACCGCGCCTCGGCCCCGCTGCACCTCCCGGCCGTGCGCTCCGT